TTCAGTTTTACATTCTATAACTTCAACACCAGCAATATTTGCACATGTACCCAATGTAAATACAGTTTTAATGCATTCTTCTTTATCACCTTGACGAATAACCATACTAGCTATTTGAATAACTGGATCATGCTCAGGCTCTGGAAAAATGCCTAGAAAAAAAATAATAAAACAATTTTCAAATTCATTTTTTATAATTAGTGTTTTTTTTTATGTCAAACCTTTTCGGCCAGCACATTCAATATCATAACTCATTATACGTAATGGAGCAATACGTTGCCAATCACCTTCAGCTGGATATGAAATAATATCATGTGCCCATATATCTAATTCAATTTGACATCTATACAATCAAAAAAAAACGAAATTAATCTATCAATAGATTTAATGTTGTTGGTTTTTTTTTTCTTTAAACCTTGATTGTATTTTTAATTGTTGACCTATACCACGTGTTACCATGTGTCGTATAGAATATTTTCCAGCTGGAACTTCAATCCAATTACAACCAACAATATTTAAATCAGCCATAAAACTTAAATAAAAAAAAAAAGAAACATAATTTCAATTCAAATTTTTTTTGTACTATTTCCAGATAATTAATACCGAATTTCAAAATCAATATTTGTCTCATAAGTTTTATAACCATCAAGTTGTGTTTTACTTCCAGTCCATGAAAAACCATTTTCAAGAATACGTCTTGATGTTGCAATAAATCTTGGTAATAATACACTTATTTTAAGTACTTGCTGTCGTTTTGTATCTGGGTGAAAACCATATATACTTGCTTTTTGTTCTAATTCAACATGAAGTACTAGATCAGATGCAATAGCATCTTTACCACGCATTTCACTACGTAATGCTGCATGAAAATTTTGCTAATTTATCATTGAGAAAAAAAAAATTAATAAAATTTTTATTTTCAAAAAGAAAAAAAAAACTTCTACTTACTTTAAATCTGTCACAGTCAGCTGCTGTAAATGTATCTGATGGTACTGATGCATAAAAATATGGAATATAACCATGTAAATGTGCCATAACTGAATAACCTTCATCAGTAACACCATAAAGACGTATAACTGTATTATGACCACGAACATGAGGTCGACTTTTATCAAGAGAATGTGGTGTACCATCGGAATCTGTATAAGTATCTAAATCAATTTGTTGAAAGACAAGGTTATCAGTCAAAGGATTTATCGATGGAATATCGGGTCGTGACCATTTGATATTAGTTGCTTCATAAGCTGGACCATGTCCTGTCATATGAAAACGAAAAAATTATGTAAAAGAAAAAAACTTAATTCAACAATTCGACTTACCGAGTTCAATAACATTTTCTTTGTTTTCTTGATCAGCATCATCATAAGCAGGATCATCATTCATAAAGTCCTCCTCATCATCATCATTTGCTCTAGAAAATCCAATAATAATTACAAAATCCTTGTCAATCAATATCTCGAAATTCATCTGTGCAATTGTTTGATTAATTTTACAAAATTAAATATCTTTTTCGATATTTCAGCAAAGAATAAAGATTTATTTTTTTCGTTATATGAATAGAGAAGATTATAATTATCATACCGTTTTGGACGTTTGATTTGTGTTCCGTTCGATTGTGTTGTTGATGAATTTTGACCAGCAAATGTTTTTCGTTTAGAATTATTTGTTACGCTCATCTGAAATAATTTTTAAAAAATCTCTTCATATATTAATCTTTTTATAATTAATAAGGCATATTGTTTATACAAAATGAACTAGTACATGATATCTTTCTATCTAAATAAAAACAAAACCTAAAACAAAAATATAAACCATATGAGAAGTGATAATATCTGAATTAAATACTACGATAGATATAGATTATGATAAATAATTAGAAATAATCTGCTGAAGTATATAATAATTGAGTACGAGTTTTTCTAGCTGTTGATACATTTATCCAACGAGCTTGACAAAGTGGACAATCAGCTGATTTTTCTTTAATATATTACTAATCTTCGAGTTTTTATGAGTAAGCGTTCAAAACATATTGGACAAGCAGCATTGTAACCAATGGATTGATGTTTAAAAGTTAATGGTAAATGTACTTTCTTATTTAATGATTATAATGGGAAACAAGTGAATAAAGACGATGACTTTGTCCTTAAAAAGTATATTCTAAATCAAAGTTAGTAAATCGATGATATTCCATAATTGAAAGATGAAGATCAAATGAGGAAAGATTAACAGTGAAAAATACGTTTTACTATAAATAGAAGGTGTGTACAAACAATTCTTCTGAAAAACTTCTATGAAATGTTAAGCTTAAACGAGATATGTGTATATTTGTAGAGGAAGATTTCCTGTATTTAATGGTACATGTATCATCAAGTTATATTGCGTACCATTGTTATATAACAAGAGGGCGCTATTAGCTTGATATTCTATCATCGCTGCTATGTTACGCCCTCTACTGACATTTCCATGTTACGCAATAGAACTTGGTAGTGCATGTGGCATTAGATACAATGACTCTTCTTGGCAAACATAGACATATCCTTTTCTGACACCAATGATAACTAAATGTATAAATCCAACCTGCAAATCGATCTGTGGATTAAAATTCATGTGAAATCAAATAAACATGCCATTTTAACATTTGACCAAGCGTTTTGTCAAAAGTAATGTTTTCATGATTTGACAATATTTCTTTGATGAGATCATGATGCTGGGTAGAAGATGATGATGATAGACGTGATTTCTAAATCAATTTTAAAATATTTAGTGTTTTTATGTATTTGAACGTTCTCACAAGGGTTTGTTGTTTATCATCATTCGATGATGATGGATAGCAAGCCTCTATTTGGAATGAGACAAACGTCTATTAGAACAATCTACTTTTTATTAAGAGCAACGCAAACGTTTCGAAATAGATGTCTTTCTGACGGAAATGTGAACTTCGTTATGCTAAAGTTAAGAATTACAAAATGAAGTAATATAAAAGTTAGTAGTAATTGAGGACGTAAAGTTTGAAGACAAAATTTACCTTCATATGTTAACTGAATAAAGGTGCAGCAATACTTCAAACCTCCAATTAGAATCAGAATTTTGTGCTCTCTTCAGTTTGAGGGTAGAGGGACAATGGCACTGACAGACCGACAAATGGAGAATGCGATCGTATCCAGTTTGACACTAGTTCCATCATGATCTTCAGGAATTCTTTTGGCACTTTAGTATTTCTGTCGTAAAGACGCCCATTGCACCTAGTTACACTTCCTATTGTTTGACTGCGTCAAATTTTGGAGATTTTTCGGATCAGTACCTAAACAGTAAATGCCCTTCTCAACAATGATGTCCCCAATAGCATACGTTTCATTAAAGCCCTCGATATATTAGAAGAATTCGGGTCTTCTATTCTGTCTTATCGCTCATAAGTTACAAGGGAAGTCTTCTATTATGTCCTTAAAAAAAATTCATAGTTTTAGTTACCTTGAATGATATCATATTTATAAGTCTTTTCGTGCTGATTATATTCTTACTAAACGTTTATCTCAGTTTTCTACACGAGTAGAGTTAAGAAAAAAAGTCTATATGCTATCACTAAGAGTGTGGGTGTGAATGTGGGGGCTGATTAGAGTGATAATCAACATCTACACTCACACTCACCATAACGAAACCCACACCCAAGTATATAGCATGATATATCATAAACGGTGCTACTACCACTGAATCAAACAATTCACAACCATAATATTAAAAGCATTATTGATAATATATCGAAGCCAACACTTAGCTACATCATTGTGCCGTCGTTAAATCACAGAACAATTTCATTTGTTACTATATATGAACGATGAAAATATAGCGTTAGACGTCAATGTCGTATTATACAACATGGCTATCGTAGCTGTCCATAAGTAATACACAAGTCTGCTGATCTAAAAGAAGCACTCGCTGATCGATCTCTTTTCTCAATATAAAGAACATATTCCACATCCTGACTGAACAGTTTTACACATATTCATTTAATTTCAGATCTATAAAAAATGCACTTCCTGAAACACTAAAAAATCAGTCACAAGAGAATTACAATCAGATGGCCAACATTGAATATAGAGCTTCGAATAACACTTTCCATTGGTTTTACCACTATACTTCGCAGTAAAACGTTTTTTTCTAACCGCGATGAGCATACAGAGCCATATCTTCGAAACGAAGAATGAAACTAGTATTGATGATGCTCGTCATCGTACACAATCAACCAACGATTTTGAAATGATCAAGGCCTATCTTCTCTTTTCAATAGAACATGTCAGGTCCGAAATTTTTGGGCTTACATCAAGTCGCATCCGACTTAAATATCCTTAATAAAGGTTTTCTAAATCCTTCTCGTAGTGAAAGACCCTGGTTCTTAAATAATAACCAAGAATACAAAATTTTTAGAGTGATTGACAATTGTATCCCATTTGTTTTCACATTTTTTTTTTATTAAAAAAAGCTTGTCAGAAAATCAAAACGGTTTTAAGTATTTCAGATCAAACTTTTATGGCTTTACTACAAGTCCAGAAGTACCATTAATCTTCATGTTTTAAGGTTTTCAGCTCGAAACTCTGAAAAACTAGACATTTTTGACAGAAACACATTAGTTAAATTTCGAATGTTCGAAAAAATAAATTAATATACGACTGCTGATATTCTATCAAACAGATTGTTCCTTCAAGCAAAGTCGTCGATTATGATGAGTCTTCTATTGTGGGGAAAAAATTAATTGAAACCGGTTAGTTACTTCAAAGATATAAGATGTTTTCTTCCAGTATTTTTCATTCGATGTCTAGCATTAAATACTCATTTTTCATATGATTAGGATTCATCGGGTCCAAAATATTTTCGAAATCGGATCTGGACTCAGTTAATGAAAGATTTTCCGACACGCATTCACACCCACACTTTGACTGCTGTTTTATTGAAATAAATTAAATTAACATAAATTGTTCGGGATAATTCGATGAATAGTTATCTAACTATAATGGAATAGGAGTTTTTTGTTGTGCTTTTTTTTGTTTCCATACATATTGTATTCTTTGTTTGATTAGTTTTTGTTTTGCTTTTGTGAATATAAATTTGGTATGATTTTTGTCTCTATCTAGTCTTAAATAATTTCTCATTCCATGTGCTCTTCGTCGATTATGATATGGTCCTAATTTTAATTGTCGACTATTAAATATACCAGTAGCCAAACTAAATGTACTTACTGTACCAATTACAATATCATCACGTACTAAACGATTGAATGTTTCTGATGTTCGACCATTTAAGAAAAATGAGACACGACAGCGTGATTTAGGTAAAGTGCTTTTTAAATCAATAAGTATATCCTGAAAATCATGTATTGTACCTTCACTATAAATTGTGATTAAATATTTGTTTCGTATTGGAATAGGTAATGAATTAATAATAGAAACTAATAATGGTACATAAGCTGAATTTGCTATGTAACGATATAGCATACTCGATATTATGTGACGTTGACTATCTTGTTTTACAATATCACCACGACGTATATGTACTCCAATCAATAAAACATCATGCACATTAATTGAAGAACATTGAATTGGTTGAAAAACATCGATTCTGTTATTTTTATTCGTTTTGACCATATTTGATGTTATATATTGAAAATAATCGGTTGGTTGATAATTAGACGGAACACGAACACCTGACCAAACACCATTATGTTCATTGTATAATTTCCTATGTTGTAGCCACCAACGAATTTCGAAAATGACACCTATTTCCATTAGTGAGGATGTGATAGTAAAAGTTCGATTAGAATAAAATGTAAAACCGGTATTTTTTTCCGGAAGATTAGCTATGAAGTCATCAAGTTTTGTTTTGAAATGAGATTTAATTGTAAATGGTTGTTTACCATGATGATATTGATCAAATGTTTGATTCCCCAGTAAATCATATTTAAATATATTCTGTTTAATAGATGAATTTTCTGGACATTCATCATAAGCTGATGAAGGAATGTGCCAATGGAAAAATTGCCAATATTTTTCTCTGTCAGCATTTGTTTCATCATTAACATGTGCTGCAGTCCAATCGAAATTTACGACTGTTAAATTCAATTTATGTGCTATATTGAGAACACCTAAATACCAGTATAATTTCGATCCGGTACCATCGGGAGTTTGAGAATCTGATGCACTATTTATTAATAAATAACGACCATGTTCACAATCGATGATTGGATGATATGTTAATATGATTGAAAACTCACTCTTTAATTTAGAAAAATAACGATTGAGCGCTTATTCGATATCAGGAAGACAAGATGTATTGTCTAACATACATTCATCCAATAAAGCGTAAAAAGAAGATTAACGTGAAGTACATATTTGTTTAATTTTAATGAAGAAAAACGAACACAATATGGAGTTTAAAATGAATAGAAGAATGCAGCAAATATGGGAACTCCGCCTTGATATAATTTGGGAACAGCTAAATAACAAATGTTTCAATAAATTGACGCGCATATCTAAAATTGTATGTAAAAACGACGGAATAAATATTTAAATAACATCATTTATTATATGGCTGAACTATTTCAACAAATAAGGCAGGATCTTAGAGTGTTGGTGTTACAACCTGAAAAATAATGCTCACAGGTGCACTCTTTCTGCGTAAGTATCAATCTCAAAATTTCCATAAGTGATATGTATGATAAAAGTAACTTATCTCAGTGCTGAGAATCTTTTTCTGTTATGTACATTTGTTGGAAAACAGACAAGCTAGAACGGCCCTCACTTCATTTCAAAAGTTTGGTGTTGCATGCTATCTATTATCAACCTTTAGATGGAAACAATAGAATACACTATATTAATGTGAGCAGCTCACGACGGAACATTTTTGACTGTCCAATCGCTTTTGAGTTCGGACTCAGTGCATTATGTAGGCCCTATTGAAGTATGAAAAACTGCAAAACGACAGATGCCCTTAGGTCTGCTATTTAGACTTATAGGCATTTTACTGCAATTTCGGCGTAGAGAATGGTATACATCAAAAACTTGAAATTCAATATTTCGAGTTGAGATTAAGCCTACATATAGTTCTGTTTGTGAATAAAATATCCTGAAAATTTCAGCTCAAAATAATGTTTCTTTCCTGAAATATTAGAGCTCCCAAAGTCACCTAAAATGCTAGAATACTTCGGTTTTTTTTGGACTTAGATATCTCCACAAAGAAATATTATTTTGAGCTGAAATTTTCAGGATATTTTATTCACAAATAGAACTATATGCAGGCTTAATCTTAATTCGAAATATCGTACTTCAATTTTTGGTGTATGCCATTTTCTAGACCAAAATTGCAGTCAAATACCTATAAGTCTAAATAGAAGACCTAAGGACATTTGTCTTTTTATAGTTTTTCATACTTCAATAGGGCCTACACAATGCACTGAGTCCGAACTCAAAAGCGATTGGACAGTCAAAAATATTCCCGCGTAAGCTTAATATTCTCAATCCTGAAATGATGAATCTGTTCAACGTAAAATGCTAGTCAGTTTGTCTTGACTCTGTTTGATCGCAATATGAAGCCATGAGATTTTGACAGGACTTTTTTTGTTATACTATAACTGCGATCCGAAGATCCTGCCAGTACAATTCTAAAGAAGATATAGATAGATATTTAAAGAGAAATATTATGTAGCACACAGATTGGAAAGATAGCAGCAACAACAGCAGCAGCTATGCGACACAAAAAGTAAATCGTCAGAAAAGGAAAGAGCACAAACACAGAGGACAATACAAGAAAAGAAAAAAAAGATGTTATTAACAGCATGACCAGAAGAAGAATTGTATGAACAGTTTATAATAAAAAATATATATAAGTAAGAGACAGAGACAAGAGAACAAACAGAAGAAAAAGAAACAAAATATCACTTGTTCAAGAAAGTTTCGGGGATTCTGAAGGAGAAGAACCTCATCCATCTCATAGAAGGAGACGAAGGAACTCGAAGGAACAGAAGCAAGCCAATTAGTAGCTTTTTCAATCGTTGATTGATGGAGGATGAATCTCTTGGATCTTCTCATACAAGAAATTGAAAATTTCCCTTGGGACCAGCTTTTCCTAAATTCAATAAGGTTAGTTTTTTTTCGATCAGTAGTTCATCATCAGTAGAATCGACTAAAGCTACCAAATACTTGTTCCAGTAGGAGACACATCAGTCTTCTAGAGACATTTCATCAAGTGCGTACTCAAAAACCATTTCATTCAATTGTAAACCGAGCAAAACACGACGAAAACAAGTGTACTAGAAGTGCGAGAGGTCGTTTCTTTGTTTCTCAAAGAAAAGTGGGAAGAGAGGGCAGATTCGTGTAAATAAAGGAAGGGAAAAGGACGCGAACAAAGCTCGTCATAATTGCGGAGACGAAGAACCAAATGATTTAAAGGACTTTATTAAAGAAATGCGTTGCCTTACTTTAACCATCGTCTTTTTAATCATTTTCCGCCAGCCTAACTCAGGAGAGATACAATACCTCAGATACTTAAACTCATCCTCCCATTTAATTTTTTCCTCCTTTTCGTGATTGAAAAAGATATCAAATGCAGGTAAACCAATAGCATGAGCGTTAAACAACGCAACCAACTTAGAAAAGTTGATCGTTTGAACCAATATGGAGGAATAGAATTCCAAATGATCAAGGAACAATTTGATTCTGTTTTCAAAATCAAAACATTGATCTGTGTATCTTATCCCTAGTTGTCCAGAGATAACAGCAGCTAAATTATCTGCAAAGAAATGACTCGAGCACCAGAGAATGAATTGATCCATATCGCAATTGTAAGTAATAAGTAACGCAGGGCTTAAAACACTACCTTGGCGACCTCCTTTTGCGCTCGCAAAGCAACGAGAACGTTTACCATTAATTTCAATGAAATATCTTCTGTGAAGAAGCCAAATTTCAATCCATTTTAAGTACGAGAGGGTAAATACCTAATCTGCGTAATTTTTCTAAGCATCTGAGGAACCACAACTGGTCGAAAACAGAACGAAAATCTACCAAAATAGTACCTACATGTGCACTATTCGACATCAGACTATATATATTCTCTAGAAATACTAATAAACATGTCTGTAATAGAAATTTATCTCTGAATCCTGACTAATTGTCAGGTAAAATACCTCTTCTCGAAAGAACATCACGAAAACGTGTTAGAAAAAGTTTCTCCCCTGCTTCCTAGAAAGAATCAAGGAGAGAAATAAGACGCGTTAGTGCTGAGGCATATATAGATTCCTTTTTAGCTAATAAGATAATTCGGGTGTCTTTCCAAGCATTTGATATAATACTCTTTTGGAAAGAGAAGTTGTGAAGTTGTAGAAGTAGAGACCATTGACAAGAATGAAGAAAATTAAACATGAAGTTTGATATGCCATGAGCATCTAGAGATTTCTTTTTACGTATTGTACGAACAGTGAAGAATAATTCTTCTTGTATTACGTCAGAAATAGTTTCATCGTTATTTTCAAATTCTTCTGCGTGAGAATCAGTATAAGGATGAGGTCTTATGATATCGAGTTTCTTAAAAAAATAGTCGTAAAAGTCCGCAGGAAGTTCACACATTTCGTTCGGATCTTTGATGATTTGACCAGATACTGTAACAAAAGCATGAAGTGTAGAGGATGATGGTTTAAGAAAACGTTTACATTTGACCAAAAGGAATCAGCCATTGGGGAAGAGATATAATGAAGACGCAAAATTGAGGAAAGTTGAGAAGAAAGAAAAGATTTTAACTTGTTCTTTGCGATTTTTTTTAAATACTGAACTTCGTTCTTTAATTCTGGACATTTTGTTCTCAGTTGACGGAAAGATAATGCTCTTACATAGGATATAAACGATCTTATTTCAACAGGAAGTGTCGTGGGGTATTTTCCTCGTGGAAAAATAACTGTTCAATGAGCTGTTAGGAAAAGCAAAAACTTTATATAGCCACTATACGTAGTATCTATATTCTCTAGATTCCACTTCTCTTCGCAGAAAGAAAAATGTGTATTCAGAACAAAGTGACAAAACATTCCAATGAACACGTTTCCCAATACCATTCAACGGAATCTTTATGGAAATAATAATGAAAATAGATAGATGATCACTGGATGTGTTGCTAGCAGATGTTTGAATATTAAGCTCCGCACTGCACGCAAAGGCATAATCTATCACTCTATTAGAACGCAACGAATTTGATGTATCAGGTGTATACAGGGCAGAGATGTCCATGGCGGCGCTGCCGCGCCGCGACCGCCACGGCGGCAGCGGTAGCGGCAGATTTTTTGCGAAATCATAGCGGCAGCGGCAGCGGCGCGGCAGCGGTGAAAATTTTCGAGAAATTTCTCCAATTTTTTTCGAATAAATTTTAAGGCTTGAAATTATAATTCTGTCGTGATTCAGATTAGTGAGAACTTTTTTCTCGATCAACAGACTTTTAAGGCTATTCCATCGACTAACAGAAAGAGAAATATTATTATTGTGTAAATAAATGATGATGCTATTTGAAAACATGTTAATAGCAATTATAGAATATGTATGCTGCTCTGTTTTAATTGACGTACGTTTTTATCATTGTTAATCTCGTTTCATAGGCATAATAAAACAATATATGTTAAAAAAGTCGATATGCGTTTTTTTAATAATGAACGATGCAAAAGTCTTTGCCCAAATATCAAATCCTGTTAGACCATATTACCAACTTCTGAATTAATCAATTTTCCTTGTTAGAAAGAACAAAGTCTGAACTACAAATTTTTTATCAGAAATTTTTTTTCAGAACGAATCTGAGACGGAGGAAAAGCCAAAAAGCAAACACCTCTAAAAAAGTTCTTGCAACTTCACCATCGAGCAACATCATTTTCTATTTTCTGTTAGTTTCTTTTTATATTAGAAGAGGAGTGAGAAAAAACGTTCAATGATGTTTTTGTAGTAAAAATAGTGCTCTTTCTAATGATGTATTGGAAGTTAAATCTATTCTTAGTTTTTGTATCAACAAATAGCTTTTTCTGAAAGAGACTGAGTCATTTGGTCGTTCTCACTACTTGATCGTTTTACATCGATAAAAAATATTTTTTGAATATATTTTTTTCTGCTAAAATTCTACGATTAGATATATTTCGACCAAATAACGCGAAAAGAATTCAGTTCATGCATGATTTCTGGAGATGATGGCTGATATTTTTGTAAACTGATAGTTCTTGAAAAGGCTCAATTTTGCAAAAATTTCGTGTTTCAAACTTGTTTGATTAAAGAGTCAAGAATGGATCCCAAAATGTGTCTCAAAGCTGATATTATAGAGTTTTTAATGTGCTACATTCTAATGTATGTTTTCTTCAAATTTGACCTATGCAGCTTAAAATAATTGAGAAATACAGACTTTTCAAGTTGCAAAAGGCGTCGCAAGAACTTTTTTAGAGGTATTTGCTTTTTGGCTTTTCCTCCGTCTCAGATTCGTTCTGGAAAAATATGTCTGATACAAAACTTGTAGCTCAGACTTTGCTCTTTCTAACAAAAAAAAATGATTGATTCAGAAGTTAGTAATATGGTCTAACAGGATTTGAGATTTGTGTAAAAACTTTTGCATCGCTCATTACTTAACATCTTTGAATAATATAATAAATTTGTTTTTATATTTTTGTAGTTTTCCTCATGATGAATATTTATTAAGTGGATTCTGATCGATTTTTGAAGAGTCAGACAATTTTATTACACACTCTATTAATATTCTTTAGAAATCTATAAGATCCATAGAGTCTATCGGGATCTGTTTTTCACCCTTGCATTTGGTGCAGTAATTCATGAACTTTATAATACATATTTTTTTTATTTTAGAGACGAACACATTTTCTAGACTGTATTTTTTGTACTGTCGCGGCAGTGGTGCGGCGGCGGCGCGGCAGCGGCAGATTTTTTTTCCAGTACGCCGCGGCGCGGCAGCGGCGCGTTACATTTCAATGTGGACGCGGCGCGGCAGCGGTGCGGTAGCTTTCGTTTTTCTGACAAACGCGGCGCGGCACCATGTTTTTTAAACGGCGGCGGTGCGGCAGCGGCTAATTCTCAGCCGCGATGGACATCTCTGATGCAGGGCTAGAAAATTTTTGTCAGCCCAATTAAATAGTGTTTAGGATTTTTTATTATCCTGTCTTAGATCAACATTAAAGTCACCAAAAACAACACACGTTTTGTTCAGAAAAGGAGAGAGATCTTCCCATGGCCAGGATTTGCTGTCAGGTGCATAAACTTCTAAAATGCGAAGTTTTTCCTCCACCATGATATCTATAATACAAACATTTTATAGCTTGCAGTCAACTTGACTAATGTAAATTACCCATCTCACCATGACTACAACTCCGCCGTTCCAATTCTTCCCTTTTTGATAGAAAATCCTAAAACTAGGGAACACTTTTCGCAGAAAGAGATATCTGTAACACCCGTTTCTAAAAGAATAAGAACATCAGACTTGTGGGACGTTGTGAGCAAGAGAACATCTTACCATCTTAGATTGAATCCACGTAAGTTGAACGCTAAGATGAGAAGGGAAGAAAGATTAGTGTTATTAATATTCGGGACGTACTTTTGCCAAATAGAAAAACACGAGTGTAAAAATGGACTACATTCCTACTCATTAATAATCCTCGAAAAAAGATTAAAGTCGAAGTGGGATAGACATTCATTAGCACTACACAAAAAGTTTTTTCTTTTACAAATTTTAGTGAAAGATATACAAGAGAAAAACGGGTTGAGCATAGGGTGAAAAGTCATTGGTAAAAATGCTTACCTTTGCTAGCTTTCTTCATTTGAACATCATAACGATCAAGTTTATATTTAAGATCAGCATCAAGTGGATTACCGTTTTTGTCTTGATTTTGTGAACATATAACAGCAAATAAATCTTCAAATATTGGGAGTAATAATCTCATAAATAAATGATATATCATTAATAAAATTTTTAATATTATTATTATATGATGTTGATGCTGAATGACTGTTCAGATTCAACAGTTTTTCGTAAGTTCAGCGCGAAAACTTTTCACCACCGGCCATTTGAGAGAGTTAGATTTGTGGTTCAGTTGGCAGTGAATGCATTTTTCATTTTAAGAACAGCTGTGAATGTTTAGATCAGTATATTGTTTCTCGCACGTTTTGCAGATTTCGTTGATTTGAGTACATTGTCGTTTAAAATGCTCGAGGGCCATACATTTGGAGCACGTTAAAACATTTGCAGGAGCGAGATATTCATCGATATCATTAGTGATGTAATTAGTCATAATTTTTTTGATTCGAATGATCGTTCACGAACAGAGGGAGAAGTTAATTTGATTTTAACAACCTTAGTGTTATTCTGAAGCTTATTTTTCGTTCTAATGACATTTTTAATTCCAGGATAAACAGATTTAATATCCGAACATAATTCTTGAAAATCTAAATGTAAATCTACGTTTTTTATTATCAAAAAAAGTTGTGGTGGAATGGATGAAGACGAAGGAAATATATAATTTTCATTAGCAAAAGTAATTGGCTAATGAGAATTGTCTAATAATAATGAAAAAGAAACGGCATTTTTTAAATAAAGAAGAATATCATATTCATTGTTATTTTGTAAAACATTAGACAAATGACAGTTTGCTACTTGAATTATTACCTGGTGATTCTGTTTACAGTGATCAATAAACCTTCTTTGACTTGATTTGTCGTCACTTTTCCTGATACAAATCGTAGTACGTAGGGTGGAAACGGGTACTAATTAAGGGATATTGATGACGGTAATGTTGTTGTCCATTATTATTGATATGATGATCATTTTGAACAACTTGAGGATCAGCAGCAGTTGGATGGGATGAAGTCAGAAATGTTATGGAGGTATGAGTAGTATCGAGTGTAGGAATATCATTTGAGTATTGAGGATAATGAGGTGTTTTTTGTTTTTGTTTTTGTCTTTCTTTCTTTTTTTATTCATAATTTGTTGCAAATCGTCATCTGAATCATTTGAAGAATGCATACGACGTACAGATGAAGATGGTGAGTTGATGAGTTGCATGTTGGATGATAATGGAGGTGGAATATGATGATGTTTCTGAACTTTTTGATGACAAGTAACATTTGTATTTGTATGATTGTAAACTTGATAATTAATAAGATTGTTATTATCCATATGTAAAACACCATTGGATCTATTTTTCTTAGTAGGATTATTTTGTGATTGATTCTGAATGTTTGTACAATTATGCATATGATAATTAGAATAAGTATAGAAAGTCATTCTTGATGACTAAATATTCCAGAAATGGTGAAAAAATAAACATTGGGTTGTAACATAAGTTCTGCATGTGTTTTCGTTCACTAACAAATTTATTTGACGACAAAGATATGCAACATCAATCAACAACATAATCGCCATTATTTTCGAAACCTCCATCCATCTTGCTAGCAATTGTTCAACCCACATTTGTAGAAACTAGCCGCTTGTGATCTGAAAAAGGCAATGAAGTAAATTGGTTGGTGAAGAAAAAAACCTGCAGAACTTATGTTACAACTCAATAAATATTTTTTCCACTATCACGTGCTGGGTGCGTTATTCTATGTAAGGAGAGGATATGTACGTATATGTAAATAGAAATAGAAGAATAGAATGTGACTTATTCTCAACGAGTAGACGAAACGAATGTTGATTTCAGGAGGGTTTATCTTTCTTATTATCAGCACAACTAGTAGTTATGTTCGGGTCGGTCCTATGGTTATTGGGAACGCTCTATCGAATGAGGGATATATGTATGAGGCTCTGTCTTATTTCCAACCCTGAAAGGATGAGTCTTCACAATACAAAATGCTGGTCAGTCTGTCCACGCTATAATTGGTCAATATTATCAATCAATCAGATTTTAACAGTGGGGAAAATTGACCAATTAGATTTCGTGATTCAGCTGATATTTCAGAGTTGAATCAAGCGAAGCCAAAGAGGCCGATGTGTTACTTGTATTTTTTTTTCCTTGAAAAAATAACTGACCATTGTATACACATATAGTTAGAGAATAAAATGATATATTCAAAAAATATGCAAAACTCTTAAAGGTATTCCATTAGCTTGGCAATCGAAAGATGATGGTTCAATAGAGAAAGTTGCTGCCTTATTTTATTATCAAACGATATGTCATGCTGATGCTCACGGATCGTCTTCATGTCTTGTTTTATGTTAAACACTTGCAGCTCAAATAATATAATTGTGTATAGCATAGCTCTATTTTTGCCATATATATGCACTTTGTTGCAACTGTATGCGTTCATTTTCATCAGTAGCGACGAACACTCTCGAGTATACTTATGAACTATTTTTTTATGATGAAATTAGGATAACTCGGTATAACTACTTCTACATGGGATACAACTGCAAATATCTCTGTACTAAACGTAAACGAGCTTCTCTATACCCTCTCGATGCGAGTCTATGGGCTTTTTTATTTCAAACTGAATTCTAAAATCAAAAAAACCGCACCAATTTCTTCCGAATCAAACCTTTCTCGCTTGATACTACGTAGTCTCACTAAAAACCCTTAGTCCCCCCTAGTCCTGCAAAGTCCCCCTTAGTCCCCCCCACAAAAAGCTTAGTCCCCGCTTAGTCCCTTTTCAGGGGACTAAAGCCTATAGTACACAAAACCACAAGCACACCCTCACCCTCACTCGCGCGCCCACACCCGCACCATGGGTGTGGGTGTGTGTGTGGGTCCCAGACCAACACCCACACCCTCAGTCACTGCCCCCCCTCACTCCTAGACTCACGTTTCAGTTTGAAATCAAGTATTATTTTTATTTGATAAATTCAGACTGAAATTAAATAGCCCATTGTATGCTCGATGCCTTCCTATAAATATAATTTTTTGAACGACTTTACTTATTCATGACAACTACCGTCAAATATTATGCATCAAGCTCGCAATATATAAAAACAAGTAAACTCTTGGCTTTTTAATGATACACAAGGAGATCAGAACTTCATTCTTGATAGCTGGATATGAAACATGCATCAAGACTTGAGAAGTACTTTCAGAAGATGGGGACTAAATCGAAATACCTTTACTATATGTACTACTTACTTGTTATTAAGAAATGACGGATTTTAAGTATAGAAAACATGATATATTTCTATATAACTTTCAGTACGATTCGAAGAGTAACCGTCGTAGAAAGTAATACCAAAGCATGTATAAATACTATCGCTGCTTGAATTTCATAGAATTCCACGAAAACTACCCAGCGTTTACAATTCTATGGTCACCAATTTCGAACAGTAAATATTTCAATACCATGATCGGAATAGTATGTCTTTACTTCAGACTGTGAAAGATCAACATGTACGGCTGTTAGCATATTGTATCGTTAGAACGAAAAAATTTCCAGTGAGATAAACAATATAAAAACCTCGCCAAAATGTGGCAATATTTTCACAAAAATATAATTGTAACAATGTGTGAACTTCAATTTCACAATCTTTCAGATAGTTGAACATGTCTTTAGACGTTCAGCTTTCGAATTGAGTGTGTTCCTAGTGGAAAAAATAATATTGCATACACCTGGATTGTTTAAATTATGAAATATGACTTATTGCTCTTAGAATGTACTCAACTGAAAAATCGAACGTTTAGTGAGCGTAAAGATATACAATATTAAACGCTTCCGATAGATTGCATTTCATACATGATGTTCAACCTTCGCCTATCATTGAGTCGTATATGATATATATCGCCCTCGGTATTTTATGCTGTTATCCTTGCTCTATTGTTCCTCTATATCTATTCTCTTTTTGGCCTCATCTCCTTCTTTTTCATTCTCTCTTATTCTAGTTGTGTATATAAGCATACACTTTATATGTAAATGATACAATGATATGATATGAAGGAATAGAGTAAAGTATATCTCCATCTATACAATCATCCATTCTAACAGAAATCGTCACACAATAAAATTATTCTACTTTTAATAATCTCATATAACAGTTACGTGTTCTATGAGAGTGACACATAGAAAATTTTTCATAGATTTCGGGCTACACTGTGTTTTCTTTTGTACCTATAAAGTTAGAAAGAAATATATATTCAATATCTATACTGATATTCAAAATTTACTATACTCGTTTAAGAAGGTCTCCTTTCAGAAAAAGCCAATTTTGGTTAAATGTATAGATTTTATGATTTACAGCTTCTTAGATAGAGCAAAGTGTCTACTCTCGAATGCACTATATTTTATTGTTTGTTGTGATGAGATTTAAGGATATTACATAGGTTTTTCTGTACCCTCATATAGGAAAATAACGTTTTTTTTTCTAAACAATTTTGGTTTTTATACCCATCCGTACTTTCCAGATTTCTCCATCATTCTAAATGCCCGAAAGCTCGGCTTCGTATCAAAATAAAGGCAAAAATTAGCTCTACAAAACTTACCATAGTTGCATTTTTCGATTTTCCCATTAATGTTTATAAAAGAACTAACTGTTATGGACCTACTTCTCCCTAAGTTTTTCTGTATTTCATTCAAGAAGTTTTCTAGGAACATAAGCGAGGAGAAAATTGAACGACCAGTCCCTATTAAGTTGTAGAGCTAATTTTTGTCTCAAGCACTTTTCAACTAATCGAAACTCTGGCTCCTCGAGAAAAAGAAATATTCCGGAAGAATAATTCTGAGTACTACCGTAGAAGCAAGGTCAACACAATAACGCTTTCGACTGATGAGTATAAATTCACTTAACTAAAACCTTTCAAAAAGTTATCATAAAATATCTTATAATTTCTTTAATTCAATTATCCAAGCAGAATTATTTATTTTAAGCATATAGTTCATCTTAATTTCATCATTTTCTATGTTTTTTTTAAATAACTAATGGAGACTATGACGCGAATCCATCAGAGTTCTTTAAAAAGACACAACTATAAAAACATTTTTGCATTTT